CTTTCGTAACAAGTGCATCGACCGGCACGACGACATTCCGGGCGCCACATTGCTCCACACATTTTTTTTCGTGGGTATGTTGTTGCTATTTGACAATCAGAGTCACATTCAGAATCCAGTTCGTCGTCCGCGTTATCACCGTCAGAAGTATCAGAAAGTTGATATTCAGAGGATGATGAAGAAGCAGGTGAAGAAGAAAACGATGAAAGTTCGCTTTCGTTATGCGGATTCTTGTGGCGTTTTCCACTCATTAATATTAGCGAGTTTTTATCGATGTTTTCGTTATTTATGATTTTATGAGTCGCATAATTGGCAAGTTCTACTTCTTCTACGCATAACCTTGTGCACGGAGACATATCATCGTCCGGGTTGTTTGGTGAATTTGTTGACGGGAAACTAGTAAAAAGTAATTCCCATTCGACGGAACTTTGTCTTTCGTGCGAGACGCCTTTTGGCCATCTTGGTCTCTTGTTTTGTGCTTTAGTCGCGTTTGAATTCACAACCTCTTGAAGGTTTCTTTTAGTCGACATTTTTAAAGTTTTGGGTTTTTCTTTTGCGTAAAGGTTGCCGCACTTTGTTATGAATCTCGAGGTTATTTCTAATTGGTTTGCTGCTTTCCAAGTGTTGCTTGTTAATTATTAGAAGTTTTTTTCTTTTGAAAGAATTAATAGGCCAGGAATTTATTCGCAGTGAAAATATTTGAGTGCTTTTTCTTTTCTTTCGAGGAAAGACGAGTAAAGACGTGTCTTTTTCCTTTTTAATAATAATTGCTTAAAGAAAAAAGGTGAGAATTCGAACAAATCAGCCAAAGGTGGTGTGCTTTTTTAATTGAGTGTGCGGATCTTCATAATTTTTTACGTAGCCCAGCAAAGACTGCGTAAAAGGGTTCAAAAATGTTGATCATGAACATTGATTCACGGGTGAAGGACTATGAAAAGTACCCCTTTATATGGGGTACCCTTGTTTTTTTCAGATAATGTGGTTTTTCTTGCGCGTCTCCTAATGGAATTTTGACGCGTTTTTCGTGTCACTCGCGCGAAAGATAACATCATACACACAAAGATGTTTAATGAAATGGCACCATCTCTGTTACAAATCTAGTGTTTTATCCTTTTTCGTTATTTCATGTATAGCCAAACCGAAATGGTTGGCAATATTAGTAGAGTCAGTTTTTTCGAGGAGTGTGTATACCTAAATATAACAATGCCTGGAACATCCTTTTGGTTTAACTGTATATTTGAATACTATCTATGCAAATCGAGATTAAATGAAATATCACAACATATTTATTCGAATTAAAAAAAATTGATACAATATAATCTATAATTATTATTAATCTATTATTTTCCAAAATACAAAGATAAAACATTTGAACTAGCATTAAATCCTAGCAAAGAAATTAAATAAAGTACAAGAAATATCGCGACCGGATATAAAAACATTTCAGTATGTAGAAGAAACGGTAACGCTAAGAAAAAAAATAATGATTAATAATGAACGATTAAAATCAAAAAACGCACAACAGCGACATACCATTATACCCAAGAAACGTGATGTAACAATAATAACTACAAGCTACCAGGTAGATGGTGTTCCCCAGTAACAGACACACCCAGTTATCTCGAATTAGTATCGGCATCAGGAAAAATTGAATCACATATAATAATAAGTAAAGGGGAAAGAATGAGTTGCAGTGAACATCGAATGCGTATGCCCATTCCACGGTTTGTTCGACTGCGTGTATTGTGT